GTTTTCCTGCCTGAAAATAAGTAATCAAATCCTTATCACAACTGAACATATTTGGAATATAAAACAAATTTAAAATCCTTAAAATTAAATGAAAGAAGCTCCTTTAACTCAGTTCATTTAACTCTTCCTCTGCAAAAAGCATGATGGCTTTATCTAGTCTTGTTCATCCAAAGAACAATATGCTGCCCTAGTCGATTTGGCTCAGTGGATAAGGTGTCGGCACTGTGGACTGAGTTTCCAGGGTTCAATTCCCATCAGGGGCACAGACCTTGGTTGTAGGTTCCTTGGCCCTGGTTGGGGTGTGTGCAGGAGGTAACCAATCGATGTGTCTCTCTCACATTGATGTTTTCCTCTGTCTCTCCCTCTCCCTTCCACTCTCTCTAAAAACCAAGTGTACACACGAAACAGTACAGTTTAAGCTTGCTGATAAGACTGTCACTGCCATCCTATATAGTAAAGAGCTAATATGCAAATAAATGGTCATCACACCCTCATGCTGTCATGCCGTAATGACTCAGACACTCAACACTGGGGAGAGAGGAATGGGGACCAGCCAGTCTGTGGCCCAGGAGAGGAACAAGCTGCCCACCCCATGGTCCCGGTCACCAGTGCCTGTGGCTGCAGCCCTGAAGAGGGACAAAGCTGCCTGCCCATAGTCTCCTATGGCTGTGGCCAGCCTGGGCGAAGCCAGCCCGGGTCCTGGGCACCAGCGGCTGTGCCTGTACCTGCGTCTGTGGCCCAGGAGAGGGAGAAGCTGCCCGCCCATGGTCCCCTGTGGCTGTGGCTGGCCTGGGCAAAGCCAGCCCAGGTCCTGGGTGCCTGTGGCCAGCCAGAGGGAGGGAAGCCCGGGTCCCAGGTGCCTGCGACCAGCCAGAGGAGGGAATCCTGGGTCCTGTCTATGGGGCAAGGCAGAGGCAGTTAGGAGAGCTCAGGCCAGCAGGGGAGCAGTTAGGGGCAATCAGGCAGGCAGGCAGGCAGGCAGGCAGAGGTGGTTCGGGGCGATCAGGTAGGCAGGCAGAAGGGTTAGGGGTGATCAAGCAGGGTGGCAGATGAGCAGTTAGGAGCCAGTGGTCCCAGATTGCAAGAGGCAGTCAGACATCCCCCAAGGGGTCCTGGATTAGAGAGGGTGCAGGCCGGGCTGAGGGGACCCCCCCATCTGTGCACGAATTTCATGCACCGGGCCTCTAGTTTAAGGTATAAATTCCCTACAAATGTGGAAAGAAAGTATAGGTGAGGTTGCTGTATCAGAGATATCATTTGTCTTTCAAAATCTTTAAGGTTCCCTTAAAAAAAAAAAAAAAAAAGAACTATATTCTCAACATAAACCTTCAAGTAACCACAAACCCAGGACCATCACAGTTCATAGCTTTCTCTCCTATGCTCTGAAAGTTGAATTAGGAATGAACTGAAAGCAGCCTTTGCCAGAGACACAGGGAGCAGAGAGTTGGACACAGGGAAATTGAAAAACAAGAACGTGTAATCTTGTTTTCAAAGAATGTAGGTGGAGTGGGGGTGTGGATGGGTATGTGTGGGGACTCCATGCTGATGTTTTCTTAGTGGTTGGCTTTTCTCTCTCTTCCTTTAACAGTGCAGAAGAAGATGAAAGCAATTTATAAGCTACTAGAGGCCTGGTGCACAAAATTCATGCGGGGGGGAGGGGGGGGGGTCCCTCAGCCCAGCCTGCACCCTCTCCAATCCGGGACCCCTTGGGGGATGTCAGACTGCCAGTAGCAATCTGGGACAGCTATTTCCTAACTGCTCGCCTGCCTGCCTGCCTGATCGCCCCTAACCACTCTGCTGGCCTGCCTGATCATCCCTAACCACCCTCCCCTGCTGGCCTGGTTGCCCCTAACTGCCTTCCCCTGCTGGCCTAATCATCCCTAACTGCTCTCCCCTGCTGGCCTGATCACCACTAACTGCTTCCCTGCCTTCCTGATCACCCTGAACCACCTCTGCCTTGCCCCCCCCCCCCCCCCAACTATAGCTTTATCTGGAAGGAGGACCGGACAACCGGAAGATGTCCAGTCGACCCAGTCTAATTAGCATATTACCCTTTTATTAGTATAGATTGTTAAGTTTTACTTTGTATTAGGCAATATATGTTTGTCTCAAAGAGAAGAAACATAACAGTTTGTTCTTACTCCCCCCAAAAAGCTTGTGCATGTATAAAAAGCACCCTCCTCTGGGCACTGGTTGTCCGCAAAGGTTCCTGCTTTGGGCTCCTTGGTGCCCCCTGAAGGTCAGTTGGCAGAAAGTCTCTCGCCTGCTGCTTGCCTTGCTCAGTGTCTAGGAGGCAGTTTAACATGGAGCTTTAACAAGAGTAAATTTTCTATCACAAACTCCAATAACAAGAAACCCAGGAGTCTGCCAGAATTCACAGCTTCAGTTGGCAGGGTTTGAATCCTGATTTTGCAGTGTGGTGGGTGGTTTGGATGGTGCAAATACCCCTTCCTCTCATAGTTTAGAAAGATGAAAAAATTAGAATACAGACTGGATAGTAGATGCCATTAAGGAATTCTTATCTTTTTTTTTTTTTTTTTTTTTTTTTTAGGCTTTGGTAACACAACATATCCGGGTTTTTACAACATCCCTTCTTTTTAAAGAGATGATTGCTGAAAGATGTAGAGATGGAATGATTTAATGCTTGCTTGATATTTGCTTTAAAATCCTTAAAGGTAAAAAAGGAATAGATGAAGCATTATGAAAAATCTTGATAACTGTTAAATTTGGGCAATGGACAGATGGAGGTTCCTTTTACAGTTTTCTTGATGTTTGTGTGAGTTTGAAGACTTGTAGAATACAAAATTCCCGCTTTGTCACTTCTTACCCCATGACCTCGGATAAATTCATTTCTTTGTGTTTTGCTTTTCTTAACAGTAAAGCAGAGATCACAGGAACCCCTCCCTGGTAGGTGTGCTGTGTGGATTGGACAAGATTCTCTGGGTTCAGTGCATGGCACCAAGCCTGCCACTGAGCAAGTGTTCAATCATTATAGATTATCATTAGCATTGGGTATGGATACGGGTGAGGAAAATATTTTTCTGTCACATACACTCTGGATGCTGGTTTATTTGAGCTTCCTCTCCGACCCCCAAGTCTGCCTTGCCGCATAGTATGAAAAATGAAAATGTACACAAGCAGATGCTAAAGCGAACACTTAATCCTAATGGGATATAGCACTAATGGTATGTGTACTCTCAGATGATAGAAGTCACTGAGTATCGGTCACTACATGAGGAGGGTGGGGAGAAGGGAGACAGTTAGGAAGGAAAATATACCACAGACAATGCTTGCTGGTTAACACACTTTATATTTAACAAAATAATTTTTTAATAATATATTCTTTACACATCAAATATTGTTGCTAGAATCCCCTTTTTACAGTTTAGTGTTTAGGTTTTCTTTTTTTTTTTCTCACTAGTTTTCAGGCACACCATTTTTCAAAGATTTTAGAAACTGAATCTTTTTTTTTTAAACAGGCATCAGCTGACAAACAGGCTGTTGTTGATCCCTTATTTAAGCAGAGCTGTAGTTAAAGCCGAGAACCAAAGGTGGGGCGGGCAGGAGTGGACAGAGGTGACAGAGCATGGCAAACGGAGCCTTCAAAGTAACAACAACAACAACAACAGATGGGATCACAACTCTGTTATTCGGAATTCGGGAAGAATTTCTCGATGAACTGGGTGGAAGGACTTTTGTCAGTTTTGACGGTTCATGGGAAATTGTCACAGTATAGGTTCATCTCTCCCTAAAAGGGGGGAAATCTCAGTGCTACAAACTCTTAAAGGAAAACAGCTTAGAGTGAAACTTTGAGAGGAAAAAATATCCAACAAAATAAAATAAAATAAAATAAAATAAAATAAAATAAAATAAAATAAAATAAAATAAAATAAAATAAAAATCCCTTTCTCTGGCTGGTCACAGAGGCCATGGAGCAGCCCCTCTAAAGAGAGTTTCTTGATGGACATGATACTTCATTCTAGTTAATTCTAACTACAACTATCATAGTGCCAAGACTTTGATGCAAAATTTTGGTACCCTGGCTTCCCAGTGGCACTCTCTTTCTGGTTTCTGAAAAGAACAGAGTAACTCCTTAATAATACATAGGGTACTATGCTACATGGCTCCATTAATGATGTTTTCTGGGTTGCAAATATTATTCCTGTCATTTATTATTTTTATTATTTCTTTCCAAGAGTGTGGATTTTTGAAGCTGGGAGCAGACAACCTCAGGGCAAAGAAAGCTCTATAATACATCTCTGTCTAGACATAAGCTGAAGTATGAGATGCCTTGACTTCGGAGTGCGGGAATAAATCATGCAGAGTCGTTCATGAATGATTCATGGCTGTCTGTGTGACGTAGCCACGGTGGCAGCTCAAAGGCACCGACCTCGCTGCGGATGGATGTTCTGCGGGAAGGCGGCCTGATGGTCTCCCTCGGATGGCGCCGCATGGCTATTTGTATCATAACACAAGCAGTGTGCCTGAGCCGTGTCAGGTCCAACTCGTCACCACCTTGGTTTTGGAAATGACAACTCTTTCTTGATGACAGGAGGTGCTTCCAGGGAGGACAGATGGACAGTTTTAAATGAAAATCCAGTTGATGAGACTCAAGAAACACGTGTCCTGAGGGTTGGACCTATGGCATGGAAGCATGGCTCCCTTTGGAGGAGACTGACCCCGCCCCCTGGAGCTGCTGATTGTGCATGTCCCAAAGGGCTCAGAGGCTCACCCAAACCACAGGCTCAGCCTGAGCTTGCCTGGCATGACCCCTGGCAGAAACCACTCTACACTGATTATTCTAGACCACTGCTTCTCAACCAGCTGATGTTTCTCTCGCTCCCCGACCTCTCAGGGACATTGGAAATGTCTGGAGACATTCACCACTCGGGTGTTGCTGTTGGCATGTAGGGAATAGAGCTCAAGGATGCTGCTCAACATCCTATAAATGCACACGGGTTACCTCCCCGTCCCCAACAATGAATTGTCTGGCCCCAAATGTCAACAGCACTAGGGCTGAGGCACCTTGTTCTAGAATGCGGTACTCCATAGAAGTTAGGGCAAAGCCAGGGTGGGTGGGGGGCTGAAAGGAGAGAACAATGATAACAAAGACAGCCTTCAAGTTTCCTCAAGGACCCTACCAGATCTGCACCAGGGTTTACAAGACAGAAACAAGCAACTACCTGTGCCTTGTGGTTTCAGAATTGCTGAATTTGCACTTGACTCGGAGGTGGCATCAGATACCCTGTGTATTTTATTTTTTTCTGTTACTATACTCGCAGCATTACCAGGGCAACCTTGAGACGCTTCGCTTTAATTGTTCAGTATCTAATATATACATTTTAAAAAATGTTCAACAAATGGAATTGTATTGTGCAAGACTCACTCTACCCTAATCTTGAATTTAAATCAGCACTTGAGGTGGAAAGAGTGTCCTGAATCTGTGTTTTAGACAGAGGGCTGAGTGGTCATTACTCTAACAGGGCCAACACGGTCCCGAACCATAAAAACTGCCTGCGTGTATGGCTGGCTGTCAGCCAAATCTGATCTCAAAGGCCAGTTGTGTTCAGAAGGATTCAGATTCACAGTGGGGCGACTCACCCTGGTTCTGTATTTATAGTGCCAGCTGACAGTGGGTTTGGAGGGTGTTTAATTAACAAGCTGAACTCAACTTCAGCATCATGAGAAAGTTGGGTGACTAATGCTACAACTTCGAATACCTGACTCCTTTGGATTCTTTAGTCACCTTCATGGTGTACTTCAATATTAGTGTTTGATTGGCAGTTTCAAGGTTTTGCAGATGGAATGTGTGGTTTGTCAGCATGAAATCGGGGGCCCCCAAACAATGCATCGGGTGCCAGGTCCCTGCCTTGCCCAGCGGTGTGTCCGTCTGTGTACCCTTCTCTTTTCTCAGCTGACAGGGCAGGAGTGATTGGTTGGATGCTTTTGGTGTTCCTGGTCGGGCAGGGTCCGCACCCCTGACATTTCTTTACCAAAGTTTGACACAGCTGTGTGGTCAAATCTGGCCCCTTAGACTCTCAATGGGAAAAAGAGATACTACAGGAGAAAAATGCCGTGTCGGATGGACAGGAGCGTAAACGGGAATTAACTCGGCAGACGGTGAGCTGGCAGGCTAGAGGTGTCACCGGAGAAGCAGCCTGTCTGAGGCGATTTGTTTTTTGTTCCAGAAATCCAGTCAAGTCACCATCGAGCGTGGGTAATTACAAAAGCGGTTTCGAGAGCTGTGTACTATATGTGTATTTTATATAGCAAGAGAGGAATGTCCTCTTAGTAAAACAGTCACTTTTGTCAACCCTAGAAGGTTTTGCTGGTGACCCTGTTGGAGCTGGCGGGAGTCCGTGTGTCCGTTCCGTTGCGTTGGAAACGTGTGCGGAGCAGCAGCCCCGCGCCCTCTCCGGGGAAGTGGTCCTCGCCGGGGTGGCTGGCGCGCTACACGATCTGCTTGCCTTGGCATTCGCGTTTGGAGCACTGCGCCGGCTTCCACCAGTCCCCGTTGTGGCAGTGACAGATGTTACACTCGTCCACTTTCACTTCGATGCCAGCCGGAATGATGGTAGTCCCTGCGAAGCAGTTAGGACCTGGAACACAAACACACGCGGGTTAGTGGGTGGGACCCGAGAGGCGCTCTCTCCTCCCTATCCCGCCCCAGTTTGGAAGTCCAGCCCTCTAACGCCATGATGAGCAGGTCAGACTACGCTGAACAGTTTATCATGAAAGAATTTTCCAGCCATCTCCTTTCAATAAAAACTCTCCACCGCTACCATGTTTTGCTCACAGCTAGTGTTCCCTGTGTATATCATGCATGCCAGCCCAAGCTGGTTTGGCTCAGTGATGGAGTCAGCTTGTGGACTGAAGGGCACATGCCCGGGTTGCAGGCTCCATCCCCAGCATGGGGTGCGCAGGAGGCAGCCAATCATCATTGATGTTTCTCTCTCTCTCCCCCTCTCCCTTCCTCTCTGAAATCAATAAAAATATATTAAAAAATAAAGATCCAGTGCTCAAAAAATAGTGTCTGTTACTGAGTACATGCAGTTTTCTAAAGTAAGGTTCTAGGAGTTAAACTCTATTTGCTTTCTGCGTAGTGATGCAAAGGCTGCTGAAATGTCCTCTAAAGTTGAATGCGAGTCCAGTGAGATCAGCATCAGAAGATGGTACCCAGGCCTGTTCCCTGGCTTCCCCTGGTGGGTATGAATCGATGAACTCACTCAGTCCCCAGTTTCAGCACCTCCCCAAGCACAGTTCCTGGAATCCCCAGCTTGTTTCTTGATAATAATGAATAATTCATGACCAGATGATTTATTCATGTCCCAGACAAGCTTTGTTAGAAGTTCATTTGATTTTTATAAATGGAGTTCCTTTAATCTGTCGGCTATCTGTTTTTGTTTTTGTTTTTAAAGAATGACCCAAATGGTTGGCTTTTGAAAGTCAACCAGAATTTTATTTTACTTTTTCAGATCCAGAAACTCTTTACTGAAAATGTCACTTGCTCATCATAGATGGATGTTTCTAAAATTCACCAATCTCAGGTTTTCACTTCTTGTCTTTCTCTCATTTCTATCTTACCCTTTATTTGTTTTCTTCTTTTTTTTTTTTTAGTCCTCGCAATGAACAAATGCCAGTGTTCAGTGTTGGTGATATTATTTCTCAGATTCAAATGGAATAAAAATTGCTTCCCAGGGTGCAGTGGATTAGAGTGGGGTGGTGAAAATTGCTGTTTCTTTGAAATAATTTGATATAAGTCTCTGAAGTACATATTGGAATAAAGAGGGAGCACAGAGTGGTGTCTACTAGTGATTTATTAATCCAGCGTTCCTGGCCACTTGCCATAACCACTACAAAGTAGCCTGGCAACATACATCAATATCCCTGCCCTACTCTCACTCTCTTACCACTTGATAAGAATTTATGAGACTCTATTTACTATCAAATAAATAAAACAGGGGCGATTTGTAGTTCACTTCATAACTAGAATCTTGCTTTTATAAAATTGGTAACTATTAATATGTTATGGCTTCAATCACCCATTGTTTTAGAACTCCCAGACCTCAGTTGTGCATGCACTTACGGTGGCGTGTGTGACTTATGCCTTTCCCTCACTCTGGGGGACAAACACCTTGGGCACGTGCCTGGAATGGAGAACTAATAAAAGGAGGCGGGATCTACTAGGTCAGTGATGGCAAACCTATGACACGCGTGTCAGAGATGACACACGAACTCATTTTTTTGGTTGATTTTTCTTTGTTAAATGGCATTTAAATATATAAAATAAATATCAAAAATGTAAGTCTTTGTTTTACTATGGTTGCAAATATCAAAAAATTTCTATATGTGACACGGCATCAGAGTTAAGTTGGGTTTTTCAAAATGCTGACACGCCGAGCTCAAAAGGTTTGCCATCACTGTACTAGGTCAAGGTTGTCAATTAAACAGCTAGTGAACTGTCTACTTTTACCTGGGAGGGAATTTTTTACGCTGCTGTGGGTATAAGCTCCTGGCCATCCTAATTGCTGATTGTTTAAGGATCACTATATCAATATTACAAATCTTGGGATTAGACATTGTTTGATACATTCACTTATCTTTGGGACTACACCTCCCTGGGAAACTCCCACAAGAAATCATGGACTTGTTCTGTGACCAGAACTGAGGGAGTCTTCAGAGAACTTGGCAAGGAAGCATTTCCAGGCAACTCTGGTTCTCCTGTGGCTGTGTGGACAGACTCCTCTCAGCCCAGCTAGTTCCAGCTCACACCTGGCAGGAGCCAAACTAGCTTCAGAAATGGCACTGGATGCTGGCCGCCACCTATTTCTCTGGGATCCCCCAGAGGAGGCAGTGGTTTCTCTCTCTCTGCCTCTCTACTTCTCACCAGTTCTTTTCACCGCAATTGTATACTTTTAACTTTTCCAGATGGGCAATGAAAAAAAAATTCTAAACAGTGGTTTCAAAGCAAAGAAGCCCCTGACATAAGCAGAATATTATTCAGTAAATGTTCTCCCAGCTTCTTGAGAGGATTTGGAAATCTGCCCAAAGAATCTTAGAATCTTAACCGTGTGTGTGTGTGTGTGTGTGTGTGTGTGTGTGTGTGTGTAGAGGAATGTTGCTGTCTCACAGGGGTAGGTTCATCTCAATGGCACAATAAGAGAAAAAGGCAAGTGGGACTCTTTGTAAAAATATCTCTGATAAGTCATCATGCATGTGTTGAGTTGTTTTACTAGGGTTCTGGTTTTGTATCTTCCTCTTTCTACCTATATTGGTGTCATACTATGATTAGTATGTATTCTATCAGCCTTGACACATCATTTATGGACACATCATTTATGGAATTATTTAGAATTTGCTGCAATCTCAGCCCAGGAAATATTAATTTATATTGATTGACAGAAGTCAAAGAAATATTCCTTGCACTTTGCTAGGACTGGCCAGTAAAAGGCACTGCCTGTGAACATCATGGAGACTTCTCTGTGGTCTACTTGGTGATCAGAGGTATTTCACAGATTCAAAAAATCCTGTTTGATCTCATTAGTGATTTTATTAGGAGCCTTCTGAAAATTTCAGGTGTAACTAAAGCAAGGCTGGAGTTTTCTGTTAATAGCTTGATCTGCTGAAAAGTAATTTAGGTAATTGTCAAACAGAATGGTTGGCACAATTTAGAAACGGTATTGGTCTGTCCTTAATAGTAGTGACAATAAATGCTAATTTTCCTTGAGCATGAGAGTGTTCTACATGAGCTCCTTACATAGGGAATCTATCCTTCTGTCTATTCTTTTCCTTTTATTTGGGATCTGATTCCTTCTGTCTTGGTTTATGTGAAAGAATAGATGCTTAGAAGACTGAACTCAATAGTAAAGCAACGTATTTTAATGCAGAAGACTTGGAGAGACTCCAGAAGGGAGCAGTGAAAATGATTAAACTGAAGGCTGGCAAATAGGACCTCTGAGGAAAGGTTAAAGGGATTGGAATTATTTAATCTAGAAAGAGAAGACAGAGGAATAACTCAATAACTCTCAGTGAATGAAGGTTTATTAGGTGAAAAATAGTGGCCAACTGTTCTTTCTTCCTTCTGATGCCGAGCATAAGAGGAAACAGAAACACATCGATTGTCAAAGAATTGTAAACACACACAAATTGCTCAGAGAACTGAGAATTGAGCATGACAGTTTCCAACAGTGTGGGGAGATCGTCTCTCTTAGAGATCCCTAAGAACATAGGACATTTTCATCTGTCAGGTAGGATTTAAATCATTAGCTCCTTGAAAACAGGAACTGAATATCTACCCTTTCTTATGGTCCAGGCCTAATACTATGTCCAGCAAATATTAAAAACTCAGTATATGTTTGTTTAACTGAATAAAATATGATGAACAAACTAGCTATATATTGGAAGCAAAATTATTTTCTGAACTTATGGATCAGGCTTTACACACTCACATACACATATACACACTATCTATCTATCTATCTATCTATCTATCTATCTATCATCTATTTATTAATATAGGATGTCCCAAAAATGTATACATACACTTTGAATAATTATAAAGGCAGTGTTTATTAAACTACATTTCATTTTCAAAATTGAGCCATCAGCTGTTAAAGTATATATACACTTTTGGGGCATACCCTGTATATCCGGCCTTGCGCTAGTAATATAGGTATAAAAACATTTATTAATTAATGGGAACACAGAGCGATCATCACTTGAGCACTTCATGCCAGGAGTTTGTCTTATTTAATCTTTCCAATAAACCATATAAGGTACACATTCTCATCCTCAGAACTCTGGGCCTCCGAGATAGAAAACGACTTGTGTGAAATCACATACCTAGTAAGTGACATCAATGGAATATGAGTTCAAATTTCCTTGACTTATAGGACGCCATAGAGTGCATTGCTGGATTCTTTACCCAGTTCCTGGGTTTCTATTCAGAACTTGGAAGTCCAGTTGGTCCTAGTGTTGAAGATGCATTCTGAGGTAAGAAATTTGATGGCTAGGAAGATGTGGGTCACTTTTCTATTGAACTTTATCAGATTTTAGATTTATAGTTTTGTCTCTAGAAAACAATCTAACAATGAAAATGTAGTTCTTGTGGAGAAGATGCCTGCAGTATGGGTCGTGGGCTTTCCTTTGAGTAGCGGTTCCCACTGGTGCTGACAGTAGACCAACTCGGAAGCAGAATGAAAGGAAACGGTTACTCGGGAGACCTGGTTCAAGTTGTGCTTCTACAACCAATTATCTCTGTGACTTTAGACAAGCACTCGGTAACCCGAGTACAAATGGAGGGCCATATGGTTTAGTCTCAAAAAGGATTCATATTTTTGAAAAAGCAACATCATGGGAAATGCAGCTTAAATTTTTACTGGGACTTGGAACAAGAAGGGAAGAAGGGAAAAGCAGGATAGGAATTCTCATACATGAAAAAAAAAATTTTCCAGGAAGCACATCAATAATTTCCCTATTATCCTGTACTTCTTGGAGCACTTATTTTCCATACCTATAAAATTAAAACTGGTTTGCAAACATTTTTTTAACAATAATAATCATTCAAAATAATCTTTTTTTTTAAAAATATATTTTATTG